GTGATCCTCCTGTAGGAGGATACCATCAGACAGGAAGTGATCCTCCTGTAGGAGGCACAGCAGGTGACCCGCTGCCTGTTTTCTGTCTCCAGGGACGGTGCTGCGGTGGAGATCGTGGGCCTCAGTAAGTCTGCGGTTCGCTGGCTGGTGGAGCTGAAGGCCAAAGGCCTGTTCCCCTATGATGGAGCCAAGGTCCACAGAGATGGTGAGCTTAGGCTCCGCCCACAAGCTGACCTGCACCTTCCTCCTAACCCAGCTAGTTAAGCTCTCTCTGCTCCACAGGAGCTGAGGTGTTCATCTCATACTCGGAGTGGAACCAGCAGCTGCAGCGATGCTTCGAGGCGGAGTTCTGGGTGTCTGGAGACCCTAACGACCCCAACGAGAAGCGCCCTGACCTGGTACATAAGAAGGGCATCTATAAGGACAGCCACGGAGCGTCCAGTCCCTGGTGTGACTACCAGCTGAGGCCCAACTTCACCATCGCCATGGTGGTGGTAGGCAGCGCCGTCCGCACGCCGCAGCCTCAGGCCGTGACCTCAGCAGGTAACCAGCTGCTGGCTTTGTCTTCCAGGCTCCAGAGCTGTTCACCCTGGAAAGGGCCTGGAAGGCTCTGGACGTGGCTGAGAAGAAACTTCTGGGGCCGCTGGGAATGAAGACTCTAGACCCAGAGTAACGTTTCCTCTTCAAGTGTTACTGCTGCATGTTTGGGGGCGGAGTTTGACAGCGTGTGTGTTTCCATAGTGACATGGTGTACTGCGGCGTTTATGACAACGCTCTGGATAACGACAACTACAACCTGGCCAGGGGCTTCAACTACCACCAAGGCCCGGTATGTCCCCCAGAACCCAGGGTCCGTTCGTACTGGAGCTGCGTTCACATTTTAATCTAACGAATAATCCAGGATGGATTATCAGTGAATGGGTTGTTAGATTAAAATGCTTTTCCTCTGATTGAGCGGGCAGCGTTAGCGCCGTCCTGCAGAGCGGTGGTTCCCAACCAGGGCTGCTGGTACCAGCTGGGATGGTTTCACTCCCTAACGACCCAAATGCAGAATAAACCAAAAAGATCCAAAGAAAATGTCTTAATCAACATTTACATGATAACTATAGCGGGAATGGATGCCGCGCACCGTCACTGCTGCTCTGCTAGTCAGAGCGTCAGGCAGGGTCAAAGGTCACAATAGCAGAACCAAAGCAGCTGCAGTTCAGGATAAACGGCTGAAACATCCGACTGCAGGAATCAGGAGAACATCTGGATTAACTCAGCTGATCGATGAAAACTAACTAAATATGACAGAAAAGACGTGTTTATAGGAAACATGATCAGAAGAGCTGCGATTTATAAATTTGTTACTTAATTTGATTTTGCATTTATTCCAGAAGTAATTCACTTTCCAGGTAACATATTTCTGTTGTTTTTATTCTAAATGAAAAGAATGTCTGAGCGTTAAATGTTGAAGTGAAACACAGGTTGGGAAACACTAGAGGGCGCCACAGGAGAAGAGTGGAGTCCAGTTGGAGCAGAACCAGGACCGGATCCAGAAAGAACTTTCTGTGTTTCTGATAAAAACTTCAGCCGCTGAAGGAGTAACGCGCTGCACCTGTAAAGGTGCAATCATTGGTCCTCCTCCAAAGCTGTGAAGGATCTGTCCAGCACATAGCCTGAGCCCGGCCCAGAGCATAGACAGACCCAGCACCAGCTGCTCTTCTTTTCAGGAGCTTTCCTTCCCTTTGTGAACAGCTAGTTAGTTTAGCAGTGACACTTAGTGGCTAACTCACCCGCTAGGCCTCGGTGCTCTAGATCTAGGTCTGGGTTACCTTGTTTTTTTTCAATTCTATTCAGTTTATTTCTATAGCTCCAATTCACATCATGTCATCTCAGGTCACTTTCCAGTTCACCAGATCATCCAGTCAGATTGATTCAAAGTTTTCTATCTAAGGAAAACCAGCTGATTGCATCGACTCATTGACTCTTCAGCAATCCCTCACACTAAGCATGCTTGTAGCGACAGTGGAGAGGAAAAACTCCCTTTTAACAGGAAGGAACCTCCAGCAGAACCAGGCTCAGTGTGAGCGGCCATCTGCTGAGGCCCACTGGGGTTCAAGGAGACAGAAGCAGACATAGAAAAAGAAGCATAGATACAAAAGGCAACTGTCAACCAGCTCCACAGGCGGCCCCGTCCAGGAAACACACAGCCAGGCAGACGAGCTCCGAGCCAGCTCCCATGTCAGAGGATGAAGAGAGCACATCCAGTTAGTCACAGTCAGAGAAACAGGACTACACTGGAAAACAGGCCAAGCTCCAACATCTAGAAACAAAGGTGTTGATGGCAGCAGCACAGCTGATATTTCTCTCCAGGATGGAGTCACAGCCAAACAGGAACAGACCAGATGAAGCTACTATGAGAAAAAGCAGAGAGAGCAGAACGTTAGAGATTGAACTAACAGATTCTGCAGAGTGGGAGAATAGAGATAGAATGAAGCAGAATGATGAAAAAGGGGTCCCTATGTCCTCCAGCAGTCTAAGCCTATAGCAGCAGAACTATAGAGATAGATCAGGATAACCTGAGCCACTCTAACTAGAAGCTTTATCAAAAAGGAAAGTTTTAAGCCTACTGGTCAGTTTTCTTCACAGGTTCTGAGAAGCTAACTGTTAGCAGTGATCAGACGCTCAGCAGTCATTGTTTTGCTTGGAGAGAAGGTTTGATGATGTGAACTGTTGAAGAACTTTAACACTTAGAAGCACCTCTGGATTCACAGGAGTGGCTGTGGCCCGTCGGCTACTTCCTCCGAGCGAAGCTCTACTTTGCCAAGAAGCAGGGTGAGGAGACGTACGCCAAGGCCATCACGCTGGTGAAGAACGTCCTGTCTCGACATTACACCCACCTGGAGAGGTAGGAGCTTTAGCTGTCCAACCTCCTCCATCATGTACTACGCTGGTTGCCTTCATCATGGCTCTCCTCCTCCTCTTCCTCAGGTCCGTGTGGAAGGGCCTCCCGGAGCTGACCAATGAGAACGGCCAGCACTGCCCGTTCAGCTGCGAGACGCAGGCCTGGTCTCTGGCCACGGTGCTGGAGGTGCTCTATGACCTGTAGGAGCCCACAGAACCATAGAGCTTAGTAAGCTAGAACTGCCTGTTGCTGCGTGGATCCAGCAGGAAGAAAAGTCTCGTTCTTTCTGGTGTTAGAATCTTCTGTCCTTCAGCTTCTCACTGGTCACCACGGTAACCCCTCCGCGGCATTCTCACTCATTTGTTGCTTCAAAGAATTTTATTTCCTCCAAAAATCCCAGTTTTGCTTCATGTTCACGTTGTCCGGCGGCAGCCTGACGGCGCCGATCCGCGCCTGAACAGGAAGCAGGAGCCTGGCTGACCTCAGCTCGCCGCCTGCGGTCGACGTTTCCACGCATGTTAGGAGAAAACCTAGAAAACCAGAGAATAGAGCCGTCCATCTGTTGCTGTCAGCTGAGGTCAAGCAGGAAATAGACATTAACATTTTACCGCCTGCGGTGACGCAGAGCGTTTCCCATAATGCACTGGCAGTCGAGCCGCTCTAGTTCAGTCCATCTGCTCTGGGTTCAGTAGCCATGTTTTCTTTTCCAGCAGTAGTCTTCCTGTTCGTCTCGAACATAAAGAACCAGCAGGTTCTGTTAGTTTGGGTCCCTGATGTCCTCCGACATGTTGAATAGATTAGCATGGCCGCTCAGGTTAGCATGTAGTTAGCATCTAGCGGTTGATCTTTCAGTGTGGCGGCCTCATGGATAGACTGATCAGCGTAACACCTGAACGCCGCCTGTCTGAGGCAGACCTTCAGCCTCTTAACCTGTCAGTGAATCTGCTTCCTGTTAGAATGTTCTGCTAACCGTCTGAACCACCCCCCACCCCCACCCGTTGTTTCCTGATCAGCTCCGGTTCTCTGGCCTCCTCTGTTAGTTTTCATGGAGTCGCTCTCAGACGCTTTGTTCCTCGTTGACACATAGACCTGCGGTTCCAGAGGTTTTAGCAGACTGCCGCTGCCATGCCGCGGATGCAGACTGCCGCCATGCCGTGGATGCAGACTGCCGCCATGCCGCGGATGCAGACTGCCGCCATGCCGTGGATGCAGACTGCCGCCATGCCGCGGATGCAGAC